GCAGTCTGGGAGCGATGCCTGCTGAGTGGAGACGTGACTGAAGATGGCCCGGGACGCAGTGGGAGCAGGGAGGAGGTCCAGGGGGTGAAGGAGATTAAGGTAGAGGCTCTGGAAACTGGGGAGGAAGAGAGGGATAAATGGATATGTGTTGGCAGAGGAACCAACAGGACTCACTGATGGGTGGGCTCTGAGGGGAGAGGGAAGGACCCAGAACCACTCTCAGCTTCATGGCCGTGTGAATGCTCCCATGCCTGATGTGGTTTCCTCATCTGTAAATGAGAACCATGATGCCCGCTCAGGGCTGCTCCGAGGATTCAATGCCTGCATGCAGCAGGTGCCCAATAAAGGCAGTAACCTTCTTCCTGTCTCCACCATCCACTCTTCTGTGAATGCTCCACTACCCTGACTGGCATTGTGTTCTGATCCTTGGTTCATTCATTGAGCACTTAGTTTGTGGGATCCTCTGTCAGACACTGAGGATTCAGCCACAAGCGAGACCAATCACTTTTGACTTCATGGAGCTCACTGTTGAGAGCTCACGTCGCTTCAGGTCTGGAGGCCCTCTCCTGTCCTCTCTGTCAGCTTCCTGCCCATGTGTTGAGCTGTGTGAAGCCCACTCCCTCCTTGCTGTGCTCATCCCTCCCTCCTTTCCACTTTCTTAAGGCCAGGCTGTCAGTAGGTCACAGTGGAGCTGCAGCTAACACAGGATACATGTTCGCTTAGTATTCACACTGACAAACCAATGGCTGGACGTGTGTTAAAGTTATAAAGCCCTTATATAAAAAGAGAAGGGACTAAACCCGCCAGGTAAGCAGGGTCTCTCAAACTGTCACCTCCCACCCCACTCTGCTGTAGGATTTGACAGCTATATTAAGCTGGAAAGGTCTGAAGACCATGACTTCTGCATGCAGGTTCCTCTTGGTCCCTCCTGTGGTCTGCCTCAGTGTTATTCAGACTACTGTGCAGGAGAATCATGAACGAGGTTACATGCACAAACCATGGATGCTCCAGTTTATGGAGGACCTCAGGGGCTTTCATGGTCCTTTTGATCACCTACCATTTTCACCTAATGGGCTCGCTTTATAATTCAAGTGCCCTGTAAAATATGACCCTCCAATATAGTTGGCCTTATGTCCTGCATAATCATTTCAAGGCTGCCTGGCCAGGCTGTTAGCTCTGTTCAAGGGAGGGGCCATATCACATTCATTTTAGTGTTCCCCATTGTGCCTGGCATGAGGCTAGCTTTGGGTGGGTTTGGTAAAAGTGATAAAGAGTTGGTTGATGGTGGGTTTGGTTGATAGTAGGGTTGGTTAATGGTAGAGTTGGCTGATTGTGGGGTTGGTTGATGGTAGTTGGTTGATGGTAGAGTTGGTTGATAGTAAGGCTGGTTGATGGTAGTGTTGATTGATGGTAGGTTTGGTTGATGGTAAGGTTGGTTGATGTGGGGTTGGTTGATATGGGGTTTGTTGATGGTAGAATTGGTTGATGGCAAAGTTGTTTGATGTTGGGGTTGGTTGACAGTAATGTTGGTTGATGGGAAGGTTGGTTGGTGGTAAGACTGGTTGAGGGTAAGGTTGGTTGAGAGTAAGTTTGGTTGAGAGTAAGGTAGGTTGATGATGGGGTTGGTTGATGGTGGGTTTGGTTGATAATAGGGTTGGTTAATGGTAAAGTTGGTTGATAGCAGGGTTGGTTGATGGTAGTTGATTGATGGTAGGTTGGTTGATGGTAAGATTGGTTGATGGTAGGGTTGTTTGATAGTAAGGTTAGTTGATGAGGGGGTGGGTTGATATGAAGGTAGATTGATGACAGGGTTTGTTGATGGTAGAGTTGGTTGGTGGTGGGGTTGGTTGATGGTAAGGTAGGTTGATGACGGGGTTGGTTGATGGTAAGGTAGGTTGATGACGGGGTTGGTTGATGGTAAGGTAGGTTGATGACAGGGTTGGTTGATGGTAGAGTTGGCTGTTGATAGGATTGCAGGTCATATGGCACAGGATTGGGTAGGTGTGGGTCTGAGGCTAGGGCTGAAATCTCACTTATCAGAAGCTCCAGGTAGAGTGGGTATGAAGAAAACAGAGGTCAAAAGATTTCAGTGAGTACAGTTGACAGGTTGCAGCCCTCATACTGGGGAAGCTTCTACACTGCGCAGTGAACTCTAACATTAGCCCACTGGAACCTCACTGCAAATCTGTGAATGGAGGAGGTAAAGTTTTATTATCTTTATAAGAGATATATAAACAGTGATGTAGATTAAGTAAATCTTTTATGGTGAATCAGTAATAGAGTCAGGGGGTAGACTTGAGGACTCTTTCTACCCTGAAACCTTCAGCAAATACTTCTGGAAAACCACTGTTCTCAGTAGTACCCTGCTGTTCTCAGAGCTGTGGGTGACGAGACAGTAAAAGTTTCCTTAAAGTAATCTCCATCCTCGAAGAGCCCACCATCTCCTTGGAGAAAGAGGGCTCCCCCACGAAATGTGACAGTGGTATCAAAGTGCGGAACACATCCCACTGGTGGGATGTGAGATGGCTCAGGTAGTATGGAGATGAACGGGGGTGAGGAGGGGCTGGGGCCTCAGTGTGGAGGACTCACGTGGAGGACATAGGCTAAGGGCCAGACGAGGGAGAGGTCTTCCCAGTGACACTGGGGTGAAGATGTCCTTGGAGCCAAGCCAGCTCTGGGACACAAGCACTGTGTAATCCTTCATGTGCTGACACTTCCATTGGTTCAATTTAGTGAGTGCCGCAGAGGTGCACCTCTGCTTCCAAGAACAGTGGATGGTCTGCTGATGCCCATAAACTCTTGTAAATCATAGTCTCTACCTCTCTAGGCAGAGATCATTGTAATGGTGACAACAAGACTTTTCAATTGTCTTATGAGACACAAAGAAAGATTACATGTTCAGTATAATATTAGCGTTTCCTGTATTTGGTTTTAGTCTCAGTTTCTGGAAGATGTCACTTCCTCTATAACAGCACTTCCAAAACTATGTCTCTATAGGTATTCTCTTCTTCTCCTCCCTCAAAGAGTTTGAGAAATGCCAAGTTTAACATGGTTAAATATATATATTTTTTTACCTGCAGGATTTCTCAGAAGTCTTAAGTTGCTTATATTGACCAAAATTCTTTAAAGGGGGATAGAGAAAGCAGCTTTCTCTAAACTTATCTGAAACCAGAAACATCCTTTCACAGAAGACCTGCTAACTGCATCTTGCAGGAGCTGGAGTGTCAAACAATACAGTGTGCAAATGTGGCTCTAGGACTGTATTTCCAGTCGCCCACCCAGGGCACTCGATGAATCAGAATACCTCTTGGCCTGTCTATCTGCAGACAGAGAAGTTTGGGGTTCAGATCTTGGGATGTCTCCAAGGAAGTTTCTGTAGGAACACACTGGTGGCCCCACCTGTCTAGGGAACTTGTTTTGGTAAACAGTTAGACACAGGCGGTGACTAACAAGGGCCCACCCCCTTCCGCATCTAGGGCTGCTGGATCCAGGCTTCTTCCCCTTTCTCCACTCAGTCAATCTATAAAGTGTTTCATAGCCCCAGCATGGGTTACTGGCAGTGACCCACATATGTGAAAGCAGTAAAACCCACAGAGTTATCTGTCATCAGGCACAGTCCCGCTGGCTCCCAAATTGCTCCCCAGGATCCACGGACATTTCCTGGGCTCTGGAATTGGGGCCTCCTGGGTCTGGAGCATTTCCGCTGTCATTGCCAACAGCACTTTTAGAGATCTCAGAGTTGCCTCTTTTTTTTTTTTTTTGCTGAGGAAGATTCACCCTGAGCTAACATCCACGGCCAATCTTCCTCTTCTTGTGTGTGAGTCACCACCACAGCATGGCCACTGACAGACGAGTGGTGTAGGTCTGCACCCAGGAACTGAACCTGAGTTGTCAAAGTGGAGCACACCAAACTTGACCACTAGGCCACTGGGGCTGGCCCAGAGTTGCATCTTTTTGTTGCTGATTATGTCCCAGTGAACAAGGGAGAAGGCAATGTAGCTGAGGGTGTCCTGGCCAAAGTTGGAAGGACCTTGGTGTCTGGTGTCTGGTGCAGGACATGGACATCACCGATGCAGAGCGAGCTCCAGGCTGGGTCTTGGGTGCAGACCTAGCCATAAACCATAGCAGGAAGCACCTCGAGGCAACCTCTGCAGGAACGGGCTCTGGGAAGCTGGTCTCCGAGGCGTGTGGTTTAGGGAGCACAGAGCCTCCTGGAGCACAGGGTCAAACATGTCTGACCTTGAGACGCCAGCTCCTGGAGCCCAGGGAGCCACCCTTTCAGGTTGTGCTGTGGGGTGAGCTTGCGGCTTTTGTTACGGCCCTCTGTGCCTCTGCAGGCGCTTGATCTACCCGTCTGGTTTACGCTCTGCTCGAGGACGACAGGGACGATAGCAAACTCTGACACACACTCTCACACGCTGCATCTTGTGTCCCTGGCCCTGCTCCAAGCACTTCACATACGTCAATTCACTGAATCCTCACAGCGTCAGTGAGTCACTGTCCCAGGTCATCAGCTGGGGCGTGGTCATGCTGGGACTTGAACCTGGGCATATGGGTCCGGGGTCTGGCTTCTTAAGCAAACTCTGCAGCTGTGGATGTCGCAGTCTAGACACGGGGCACGGGGCACGGCCGGCCGTGGTGGATGTGGGGGAAGGCTGCCTGTTAGGAAGGGAGGGCGTTAGGCAGTAGCAGCGTCGAGGTGAGTGAGGGGAGGAATCTGAGTGGTGGTGGAGCCATCGGGAGCATTTGAAATGTACAAAACCAAGGGCTAGTTCCAAAGGACTGGACCTCTGTCGTGCTAACCGCAGGGCCTTTGGGGTGGACGCAGGACTTGGTGGTCACCACCACATCCACGATGGGACAGTGGCAGCCCAATACTCAGCTGTGCATTGGCCCTGTCCAGCTGGAAGTGCCCATCCGGTCTGGGCCACACCAATCTCAGGGCCAGTGCCCCTCCAGGACCTGACGGCCGCTGACCCCCCTACTCTGCTTCCCCGCAGCTCACGCGCGGACACCAGGTGGCGCTCTCGTCCATCAGTTACATCGGCTGCTCCGTGTCCGTGCTCTGCCTGGCCGTCACGCTGGTCACCTTCGCTGTGCTCTCGTGAGTCATCCTCTGCTCTCCCTGTGTCCCTGGGGAGCTGGCAGCTTCGTGGAAACATTAATGCCACACCTCCCCCTCCTCAATTTCCCTTGTGAGATGGCGATGCTGCCCTATTTAACTCTGCACGTCGTGTGTTACAGCTGGACAGCTGTCGCTCGATTGCTTTTCATTTTGAGACCTGGTGTGCAGGGAGGGGGCTGTGGGGTGCTGGAAAAGAGAGAGGAGAGAGGAGGGCTGTGGAATTGGAGGGCACCCAGCTTTAGCTAAGCTGGAAAGTTCTGGAAAGATCCCCAGCGCACAGAAAGCCCCCAGTTTTCCGGCCTTTTGACTGGCCAGGTGACAGCAGAACTGAGGAGCCCCCCCTCAATGCTATCGAAGTGGCCAGCTCCTGGTGGGGCTGGGCTGGGGGAGGTCCCAGGAGGGACAGCGCTGGAGGGGTGGGAGGGCACCTTCCCAGCAGGGCCGCCCCACTATCCAAGCTGAAGCCACATCTGGTCAGAGCTCAAGGGAGCCTCTGTGGCCCCCTGAGTGGAGGGTGGCAGCCAAGTCCGTCTGTGGCCCTTTCTGACCTGGTACAGAGAGATAACACGAGAGATGTGAGTCTGGGCAGCCAGCTGTGGAGACACTCGCACACCCGTCAGAGGGGCGTGTTACTCTCCCCTGGGGGCGCTGGGGTGCTGGGGAGTTTGTCTCCCCCTTCCACCTTCCTCTGCTGGGAGATGATGCTTGTGGGGGTTCCTCCTGGAGCCCAGCGCCTTCCTCACCTGCTCTGGTGCCCTGAGGACGCCCGTCACCTGGGCGGCTCTGTGACTGGGGGTGCTGAGCTTGGTTGGTCGGGGGCTACAGCAAGATCAGCAGGGAGAGACCAGCAGCTTCCCCGGGCCCCTCCCTCCTCTCCTCAGTGCTGTCACCTGGGAACCCAGGAGCTTTGGGGGGCAGGTGTGGGGTGTGCATGGGTCACGTGAGGACTTTCTAGTGGGATCAGAGCCAGGCAGGAGGAGACAGGTGCGGGTTTGGAGGGACCCCAGCCTTATGCTCAGGACATTCATTCTTTGATTCCCTCGCTCCTCAGCAAGCCCACCACATTCTGGCATAGTCCGCTCTGGGACACAGCTGTGCCCAAGACGGATAAGAACATGTCCGGAAGGGGCCAGACAATGAGCAAGGACAGAAAGTCACAAAGACATTCACAGCCCTTAGTGCCCTGAGGTAGCAGTTTAGAGAGCGAGGAGATGGAGCTCCTTCACGTCAGAAGTTCTCTCTAAGGGGAGACGTTTGAGCCACCATGTGGAGACTTTGGAAGAGAGTTTACTGCAGAGGAACAGCTGGTGCAAAGGCCCTGAGGCTGGAGCGTGTTGGGGGCGTCTGAGAACAGAAAAAGGCATCGTGACCAGGAAAGGGCTGAGTCAGAGCAGCAGGCAGGAGTCAGGCTGTGCAGGACTGTGCGGGCTGTCAAGGAGCTGGGTCATGTCCTGGAGCAATAGGGAGCCATTGAGGGTTCACAATTGGGAGTGACAACACCTGGGTGCTCTGTATAAAGACCGCTTTGGCGGCTCTTGGGGGAGTGGTATGGAGCAGCCACGCCTGAGCCGGTGCTGGGCCTGGGCCTCACCCCTGCCTCTCCGCCCTCAGCTCTGTCAGCACCATCCGGAACCAGCGCTACCACATCCACGCCAATCTGTCCTTCGCCGTCCTGGTGGCCCAGGTCCTGCTGCTCATCAGCTTCCGCTTGGAGCCAGGCACGGTGAGTGGCCCTCTGTCCCTCCTCCCTCTCATGTCACCAGGGCAGGCTCCTTCCCCGGCCAGTTTCTTCAACGCAGAACTCAGAGCACGGTCCCCCGGAGAGCCAGGGCTGTGGTTCCTTCAGGAGAGACAGAGCAGATGACGTGCACGAGCCCGTTTCTCTGCTCAGCATCGGTCTCAGTAATGGAGATGCTGCCCATGAGCTGTCAGCTCACTCGGATGAGCCCCGGCTGCGCGCGGGGCGCTGAGCTGAGAGCTTACATAGATCCACAAGCCTAATCCCCAGGGCAGGCCCACGAGGAGGTGCTGGCCTCCTGCTTATGCTTGCAGAGCCGGGGCTGGGGCACGAGGGCTTACGGCCACTCACCCAAGGGGACGACCCTGGTTAGCGGCCAGCCGGGGTCTGACCTCGTGCCATCTTGCTGCAGACTCTGCCCTTCACCCTGCACTGGCAGCGAACAGCCGCACCCCCTCTGCCTGCCAAGGCGGGCCGCTCCTGGCAAAGGGAGTGTGAAGACCCAGACCCGCCTTTCCCCTCTTTGTATCGAGTGGGGGTTCTCGGGGACCTAGGAAGTCTTAGACCTCCCAGGAGGTACTGAGCTCAGACTGAAACGACCCAGGCTTGGGTGACATGGGTCATAAACCCAGTCGATGGGACAGAGAAGCAGACAGTGCCTGCTCCCCCAGGGGGGAAGGAGATGCTGGTTCTGGCGAAGGTTCAGGGGACCGAGCAGGGTAAGCCAGTGGCTTTAGGACACATCAGGATTGGCTAACGTGAGATGAACTCTATCCTGCGCTAGTAAGGGTCAGCAGAGCCTCTTGTCCTCACTGCCAGCAGGGTCCTTGGCCACCACATCCCTGTCCTGGGGCTGCTGCGTAGGGAGAGATCTGCCCTCCTCTGCTACAGGCGCCTCCCTGCAGATTTAGGGGTTCAGGGGAGCGTCTGAGAATTCGGATGTGCCGTGGGCAGATGAGGCGAGCACCAGCCTCACTCTCTCCCATGGGTGCTCTCAAGCTCTGACATGCATCAGCACCTGGGGCTTTCCTTAAAATGCAGATGTGGGTTCAGTAGCTCTGGGTGGGGCCCAGAATCCTGTGTTTCTATCAAGCATTCAGGGGATGCTGATGCTGCCTGTCCAGACCACGCTGTGAAGTCCCACTGCTTGGTGACAGGTCCGGGCACCATAGCCCCAGATGGTGACCCCAGGGACTGGGAGGGCTTCTCCTTCCCAGAGCCGTGTGTGTCTAAAATCCCAGGGCAGGGCTCTGAGTGGTCCTGCTTGGGTGACGGCCCATGGGAGAGGTGGGATCGGCTGTCGGCCGGCGGGAGAGGTAATTGTGGTGGCCCTTCTCACCAGAGCCTGTGTGTGGGGAGGGGCTGCTCCCCACAGGATAGGGGCAACTGGTCCTAGAAGATGCGGGGCCAGGCGGTGTTGGGACACAAAAGTAATAGGTGTGTCCCAAATTAGCATCTAAATTTAACGGATCCCGATGACAAGAAACACAACAGTGCCGCAGCTTGTACGTTTTTCCTCCAGGAATCAACTGACATGGGGGCCATGGGAGGCCAGGACATGGAGCCCCCAGCGGAGATGGTTGCTCCTGATTTTCATGTTCCTTTTCCTCCCTGGGCTCCCGGTTCCCTGGACCTTTTGTCTGAGCTTAGGGACGGGTGGCTGTGGGCTCACAGAGCACAGGGGCATTTCTGATCAGGGCCCCCGGGGGGGATCAGGCCGCATGGCTGAGCCTCTAGGCAGGGCCAGGAGACTAACAGCAGGAGGGAAAGAAGCCCCTTGGAAACTGAACCTGTGAGCTGGGCAGGCCTGACCTCTCGGGCTCATCAGAGGGAAGGCAGGTGGGCCTGGATGTCAGCGCCCAGCAGCCAGAAATAAGGACCTTAGGATAGTTCATGCATCTTTGTTCATTACTCCTGTTGAGACAACTCCAGGGAAGTCCAGTGTCACTGAAAAGCCAGAACCTAGGTGTTTAAGCCATGTCACAGGCTACCCTGTCTCTCGACTTCCTTCCTCTCAAGAGCCCCTCTCCGCAGACGCCTCCCCTCGAGGGGCCAAAGCGGCTTCCACAGCCCCAGGCTCTGGTCCTTGTGTCCAGAGAGAGGAAGGAAACCTGCTCCCTGGTGGCCCCGCCCACCCCAGAACCCACCCCATTGGACCAGGTGGGTCACATGCCAGCCCTTGAGCCAATCCTGCTGCAGGGGTGGGGATATTTATGTTGATTGGCTCGGCCTGATTCCCGACCCTCTCCTGAACCAATCACTGTGCCTAGGAGGGGCCACGGTGCAGTGATTGGCTATTGCCTGAGTCACGTGCTCCACCCAAATCCCTGGGACTAGAGGCGGGAGTCAGTCCCAGGAAGGGAGTGAGGCCTCGTGAGTGTAAGATGCCCCAGAAGTGGATGCGGAGAGGCTGCGACGACCCCAGAGCCCACTGCGCATCCCCAGGGAGGTCTCCCCTCTGCCCTCTGCTCTGACCCTAGACCCCGTGCCGGGTGCTGGCCATGCTCCTGCACTACTTCTTCCTGAGCGCCTTCGCCTGGATGCTGCTGGAAGGGCTCCATCTCTACAGCATGGTGATCAAGGTCTTCGGCTCGGAGGACAGCAAGCATCTCTACTACTATGGGATGGGCTGGGGTAGGTGGGGGGACGCAGATGGGGGGAGGTCGGGTGTGATTTCATCTTCACACACACTCACATGACACTCGCAGAAGACGCCAGGTGCCCTTAGGCTTGAACTTACCCACACTCAAAAAAAATCGCGTCCCGTGGGGAGTGCCTTGGCATTCTCTGTTCTAATGGTCTGCTTCCCCTCCTGGGGAAGCCCCTGAGGCGCTGCTCTGGAGCTGGGGGCAGGGAGGGTGCCCCACTTCTCTTGGCTTGACACACCAGCTTTGGTGCAGGGCAGTGGGCGGGGGAGGCAGCCTCCAACCTCAGCTTGCCTCTCGTAGAGCCTCTGCCCTGTGAGTGCCTGGATGTGAGGGCAGTCAGGGCCCCGGACGCCCAGCCAGTCGCACCTGGGACAGACCCTGTGCGCTGTGGGCTGCGGTTGGATGGAGGAGGGAGCTCTGATCTCTCAGCTGCTCTTACCTGGAATAGGGCTTCTGCAGCACGGAGCTGCAGGGAGTAGAAATGCAGGCCGCCTGCCCGAGAGGCACTGCAGCTCTGGAGTAGGCCCTGGGGAGGGGGCGCCCTGTCTTGCGAGCCACACCTCCACGGAGTGGAGCAGATTGTGGCTCAAGTGTCATAGACTCTGTTCTGACCAAGACTTAGTAGGTTTTCTTGAATAAATTTTTTTTTAACTTTTGCTGTATGCCCTTAGGAAAATTTACAGACTTTAAATTGTTGTTTTTTTAAAGCTGATTTTCACCGGTTATGGTTGTCTCACTGGGGAGTGGTCTGTGGCGCAGTCATGCCATCATTCCGGAAGTCACCTCCCCACTGACTCGGCTGCTTGTTTCAGTTTCTTCTTGCCCATCCAAGGGTCCCGGCCAGCACAGGAGGCCCTGCTTCCTGCCACAGTCTTGGGCTGTAATGGACACCTGATGCCCTTGCCTTTGCTGTAAACCATGAGTCTGACATTAGGGACTGGCCACTTGTTTCTCATTTCCTTAAATAGATTTGATATTCAGAGTCCTCATTGTGTAAGGAGCAGATACACGTTTGTTTTGTGCTTTGCACTGGCTAATGTCATGTATTTGGGGATGCGGTGGAGGTAAATTATGCACCGTGCATGGCTTCCCTGGGGTGGCGGGGGAGGCTCACCTGGTGACAGACATGGAAGGAGGAGGCTCAGCAGCACCTCCACCTTTGGTGGCCATGCAGGGAGCCCCCTGTGTCCCACTGAGCCGTGTGGGCGGGCTCGTTGTTCCTGATGGGCTTTTTCACACCCGCAGGCCTCTGCCCACCCTGGGCCCTTGGAACGGAAGTCCTCTCCTCTCCTTTCTCCCCTTGGAGAGCCTGATTCAGGCAGAGCCTGCTCCTTCAACCCTTCTGTGACTCCCCGGAGAGGATGGTTGCTCTGCTTATCATTTCCAGCAAGGAGTGACAGGACGATGTGTGACCAGCCACCACTTACTGGTTTCTCTATAGATGTGGTCATACAGTTTAGAGATGTGCATGCACACACACTAGCACAAACACACCATAAGCCACAGCAGAGACGGTTGTAATGAATTAAATGTGTTTGTGGCATCTGTCCGTACAGCGAGAGGAACCCGGTGACGGAGCTGTCTCTGTCGGCCTCAGATGGGGGTGTCTGTCATAATCCAGTCCAATCCAGCCTTGAATGATGTCTTATTTTGTTTGCACAATGTGGAAATAAAAACTGAATTATTTGCCAGTATTTTAAAATTGAGAGATATTACGTAAAATGACAGAGTTCTTTTGAAAAATGAGGTGGTCTGGGAACCCTGAATTTATATTTTTACGTGATGGCGTTGGCTGGGACCGTGTAGTTTCTGATCCCAGCAGAGTCCCTGTAGATCTCAAGTGCGCAGCCTCTGCTGTGCACTCTGCAGACAGTGCTGGGCGGCCTTCCTGCAGGCCTGCGACCTCTGTCTCCAGTCAGCTTTCTCTTAATTGATTTCATCAGGGCTTACGAGCTGCATCCTTCTTTCTGATGGGGTTAGCATTTGGGCCTAAGTGAAGACAGTCTGTAGGCAGCCGGGCTCTCAGCCTTCAGTTGTTAATTAAGGAGGAGCTGGAGGCTGCCCCAGGGCCTGGAGGTCACGCTGTGTGGAGAACCCCTCAGAGAGAGGCCGCTTCCCATAGATTGTCACCCTGGTCTTGCTCCGACCCTCACACAGTCTCAGTTTTTGGAAACCTGGGTACTGTTCTGAAGCTGAGCTGGGGGTTGGAGGTGTCAGATCAACAATACACCTCGAGGTTTTGTTGGAAGTCAGGCCCTAGGCCAGGACTCGTGGGGTGAGTGGAGTCTCATCTGTCGGTGTGGGAGCCAGGAGAGGCGAGAGGCGAGGAACACGTGAGAGTTCACATGTTCGTGCAGCAGGGACGAAATTCTGGTCACAGACTCAGAAGTGGAAAAAACATAACTTGCTTTATTTTCCTCTATTACAACTTAATTTCTTTTGTGAGCTCGCACTTGTCTGGGGGTAAAAACTTACCCTAGTTAGTTCTGGGCCCTCCTTTCCCTGAAGCTGCGTTTGTGTTCCGGGAGCTGCCGCAGTGCTCGGGCAGTGTGTCCATCAGAGTGGGCTGGGCAGTGCTGTGATGATATTTATTTCCTGTTTGCACCGTACGTGCCCGGCGGGCCGGTGGCGGCGGGAGGGGCTCTGCTTGTGGCTGTCGCTCAGGAGCCCAGGGTGATGGAGAAGTCACCGCCTCGAGCCAGCGCTGGTTGCTGTAGAGAGAAGAGGGCACGAGAGGACCTGAAAATTAAATACTCAACAGATGGAGGCGTGTGTCGCCTCTGTCCGCAGCTCATGGCCCAACACCCCAGGGTGCAGGAGTGCAGACCTCCCGTGAGCCCAGAGCGAGGTGACTCCCCAGGAGGGCGGCCATTGTCTCCCAGGTTGTCGTCTCTCTGCTCCTGCTCCGTGGAGACATCCCCGCCCCTGTGTCAGGTTTCTTTTTGTCCGTCCTCTCAGGTCTTCGCTCTGTCTGTCCTGGTTAACCTTTCACGGCACACTCTCTCACAGTCGATCTTTACATTCGCCCTCCCTGGGTCTTAGGAGGCAGAAGCCAGGGAAGCGTGGGTCTGGTCCCTCAGAAGGGCCGCTACATTCCAAAGAGAGCTCTTCCTGAATCCATGAATGTCTGCGTGCCAGGGCTGGAGGGACCCCAGTGGTCTGCAGGAGCCCGTGACATGTCTGCATGGGTTATAGGGGATGCGAGTCTCAGATGACAGGACAGTGGAAAAGGGGTCTGAGTTGTTACTAATAGTGAAGATTATTGTGCGGATGAGCTTCCTACCTCGAGCGCCTTGTTAGTCACTCGCATGGCCACATCTCATGTGATCCTCACACCAGCCTGATGAGGAAGGCGCCGTTGTCTCATCTCCGCAGTGAGAACATGGCAGCCCAGAGAGGTTCAGCCGGTTCCCTGAGGCTGCACAGCCGGTCCCAGGTGGCCCTGGGAAAAGAACCAGGTGTCTGGTGGCTCCAGAACCCAGGCTTCTCCCTCTCGCTGTTTTCTCCCTCCTGCTCCCATGCTCCTCATTCTCCCACCTGTGAGCTTTCTCTTTTTAACAACACACACCCTCCCCAGTCTCTGTGGCTCCTGCAGCTTGTTTCAGAGAAAGCAGAGTGGGGCCCGCCCTCTTCCCAGTCAGGCCCTTCTGGTCACTGCCCCATGGGTTGGCCCCTGCTGGACACAGGGGATGACGCAGGGGAAGAAATGGCAAAGGAGCTTCCAGTGTTGCTTTGGGATCGTATGAGAAATGTGTCAGTTGTGAGTGCAGAAAAAATCTTCGACGACTCCATTTAACTTTGGGCAGCAAGAAGATGCCACCCCCTGACTTGAGCCCTTCATCGTGGCCAGGATCAGGGGAAGGGGGGTGCAGGCGTCGGCTCCAAGTGAAGTCCTCGACCACCGATATGAAAACTCATCCTCCAGGGGCCCTCCAATCCTTGCCGCACCTTCCAGAACCCACCAGATGGGCCCTGGGGGCTCCGCCTCGGCCCTGTGGGCCTGTGGGCCTGTGGACCAGCACTCCCAGCAAGGGACGGCGGCCCCGCAGCGTCAGCTCCCCCTGTGCACCGCGGCGCGGGCTTCCCCAGTGGAGCCTGGGCCTCTGGTGGTGGCTGACAGTGTCTAGGCTTGATGTCCCCAAGGCCCCTCATTTCAGGTCCCCTGTGATCGTCCCACCCCAAATGAGCCGGGCAGCGAGGATTCCCCGTGCCATCTGAGGAAACCGAGGCCCCCAGAGAGCGGGCAGCAGGGCCTGGGCCGGATCCCGTGCGCCCTCGTCTGTGTGGTTCTGGGCCCGTCTGGGCAGGAGCACTGCAGCCCGAGGCCTTCGGACCCCAGGGTGGAGCTCTGTCTTCCGTCAGGTTGTGCTCGCACGTGGAAAGCTCGAATGTGACCAAGGGTCCCTGGTGGCAGGCGCATCCTCCCATCTGTCCGCCCCTCCCCAGGGCCGCCTGGTCTGCTTTGTGGGCCTGGTGGCTGTTTTGTCCAGACGTCTGTCATGCATTTAGACTATTTGGACATCAAGACGAAGTGTTTCAGAGATTGGAAGCGCCTTTTCCAGGAGACTATTTAAAACTGACACTCAGAGGGCAGGCGTGGCCGACTGCGCCAGAGGTGGGGGAGCTGCCGCTCTGAGGCGCCCAGGCCTGGAGCCAGGACGAGCTCCCCTCCCTCCTCTGCGCAGAGATGTCCCGGGGCCTGCCGACTCAGTGTGTGCAGTGTGTTGTCACCCTTCCACCCGCCCTTTCAGTCGAGGAATACTCAAAACTCAGCGTCCTTGCCAGGAGCTGTTTCTCAGGAAGCCCTCCTGGAGGGGAGGCTCTGTGGGTGGAATGTGGGGTGGATCCTCTGCTGTCTCTGCTCCCCGGCCCCACCCTGCACTGCAGGGGAGCAGAGGGAGTGGCTGCGCATCCAGGCCGCTGCATCAGACACAGGCCCTGAGGACCCCTCGCTTTCTCTGCAGCCGGAAGTGGGTTGTTTTCAGATCTAGAATCAGATTTATAGCAGATCTGCCTTAAAACTCACGTGTGTGTGGGTGTGAGTGTGTGTATCTCTGTGTTTACACTGTGAGTTCTTGGAAGTACGGGCTGTTCCATGTTGGGCTCATAGCACACGGGTGTTTGTGTGTATCAGGTAGAAAACAAAGAAATGACTAATGAATAAAAGGAGGCGGGAGCTCACGTGACACTCTGCTCTCACTTTGCGCAGGTTTTCCTCTTCTGGTCTGTGTCATTTCAGTATCGTCTGCCGTGGACAGTTACGGAACGAGTGACAAGTAAGTGGCGGGGATACATCCCTCATATGGCAGGACTCCCATGGGACAGGAGCACGTGAGGCGTCCCCAGGGCCTCGGCCTTTGTCTGGGGAGGGGTCTGTAGGAGGCCACCTTCCCCCAGGCCCTGGCAGTGAGAATGGCCAGATGGGGTGGGCAACAGCCCCCGCCGTGCTCTGGGCTTCTCCCACCTCGGGGCTAGCTGCTGGGGGTCAGAGTGGCTCCAGGAATGGTGAGGCGGCTGGTGGAAGGTTCCAATTGGAGCTTTTCATCCATGTGGCCTTCCTAGACACATAGTCTGATCACCTTTTCAAACCTTTATCCCTTTCCTGGGGTGATCAGCACGTGTGCCAAGTGCACAAAAGTACCCAGTAAATGACAGCCGAGCGAGTACGTGAATGTGGGAGTGCAGCTGCCGGGCCCCAGGCAGGTGGGGCGTTGGCTTCTCCTTGCCTGCGGAGCCGCAGATGGGGCTTGAGATGTTCAAGACCTCATGCCGCCATTTTGAAACTGCAGCTGATGGGCCCATAGCTGAATTAGGAAGGGGATGGGATGGGGTTGTGGGAGCAGGTCAGGTGTTCAAGTTCCAGAAACATAGTTTCCTCTCCTTACGAGAAAATAAGACAGGCTTTCGCTGAAGTGTCTTTAGGAAGCTACCCCGCTCCTCAGCCAAGCTGAGGACCCACTGAGTGAACACATGAAAGGAAACGTCATCGAGAGTGCTTAAGAAGAGACAGTTAAACATTTTTATCCCTTCAGGATGAGATAATGTTTCGGCTGAATTGCTGAACTGAGAAGCGTGTAGCCTTCTCCACTTTAGTGCAACAGTGTACTGAGACGAAGCGTTTAAAGAAGGTTTGTCTGAGCCCATATTGAAACAAGCGTGATTAAGCAGCCATTGTTCCGGCTCGTTCCTTCCAGTCTGGGATGGTTGTAGAAGCTGAGGCACTAATTAAAGAAGGAACCTCTTCTCAGACAGTCTCAGTGGCGTTGGTTCCGCTTTGTCCCCACCGGAGCCGCGGGGCCTCCCACTGCTCTGTGTCCGGGGTCTGCGTCTGTGTCCCCCTCTCCGCTCCAGGCCTGAGGGCGAGGCCACCCCGCGCTGTGTCCGGGGTCTGCGTCTGTGTCCCC